TTTTTTTTTTTTTTTTGAGTAGGTGTCTCACTACTCTGTGGCCCAGGCTAGATGCTCATGGTCACCGCAGCCGTGACCTGCTGCTCAGGTGATCCTTCTGCCTCAGCCTTTCAAGGAGCTGGAACCACAGGCGTGCACCACCACACCTGGCTAATTTTTTGATTTATGTAGAGACAAGGTCTTGCCATGTTGTATAGCCTTGTTGGAACCTTGTTGGGTTCAGGCAATCCTCTCGCCTCGGCCTCCCAAAGTGAGAGCCACCGTGCCTGGCTGGAAGATTCTTTTTTTTTTTAAGTTGGAGTCTCACTGTCTCCCAGACTGGAGTGCAGTGGCATGCTCCTGGCCACCGCAGCCTCGACCTGCTGGGCTCCAGCGATCCTTCCACCTCAGCCTTCCGAGTAGCTGGAACTACAGGCGCGCACTACCACGCCCGGCTAATTTTTGATTTATTGTAGAGATGAGGTCTCGCCAAGTTGCCCAGGCGGGTCTTGAACCCACAGGCTCAGGCAATCCACTCATCTCAGCCTCCCAAAGCGCTGGGATTACAGGCTGAGCCACCAAGCCTGGCTGGAAGACTCTTAATGACGTTAACTCATAGCTCTAATAGTCACCGTCTCTGCTAGATACTGTCTTGTAATTTCCTGTTTTTTTTCAAAACATAATTAACATTTTAAGTTTCCCTTGATTGAAAGGCCAAGCATCAACAGACTACTGGGGAGAAAAAGCATGTACCTGCACCATTCTCAGGCTAGGAAAAAAAAGACTCTACATTTTTAAGAAAAGGAAGTCAGTCCCTGGGCAACTGGTCATTACTGAGTCTAAGTAGTAAAAAATAAATACAAAAAGCTCCAGATTCCCCAATATTTTAGCAAATCCCAGGCCCAGGGACAAGGTTAGTGATGTGGTAGGGATTAGAGCAAATTCAAGGTTTGGCAGTTCTTGGTTTTCAAAGTCAGATCAGTTAGGTAAAACAGATGGCTGACCCAGGGTTTAGACTGGGCTGCATTACACAAAACATACACAAGGTGCTATGTTGTCTGAGATGATGAAAACCAAGATTGGGTCTCACTCCTAGGGGTTTTGCATTTAAAAATCACCATTCTATCATTCTACATCCAAATGCAAGCAGATCCACTGGAGAAAGCGGCACATCCTAGGGTTAGTATTGGTGGGCAGCCCCCAGGAGGGGTGTGGGCAACACACCATGCACACGGCAAACCAAGGCAAATACCCTTGTTGTTCTTCCGAACAGGCTGCTTGGCAGAGGGGGTTGGGACAGGGATTCCAGCAGATTTGGGGGTGGACATGTTCACGAGGACCGACTGGAAAGGCACTCCCCCAGAGATTGGTTCCGGGGGAATCAGAGGCGGCAACTCATCCTCATCAGCAGGGGCTAGGGACTTAGAGGGTGATTCCAGCCCCAGCCCAGGTGAGGACGGCACAAACTGCTGTTTAGGAAGCAGAGGGGGAACTGGGGAGGGAGCAAGAGAGACTGGTGGAGTGGGCGCAGGAGAGACAGGTGCTGGTTCAGGCTTAGGAAGGCTTTTCTCAGAGGCAGCAGCTGCTTCAGGGGTAGCTGTCTTAAATTCTGGAGGGGAAGCTGAGGGGCCCTTTGGGGAACGCAAAGAATCTTTGCCTTTCGTAGGAGAAACAGAGAGGGCTTTTGCAGTCTTGGAAGAGCCTTTCTGCGCAGGGACTGTCAGTGGAGGGGCCGCAGCTGCTGTGGAAAGGGATCCTTTAGTACCATCCTTAGCTGAGGAATCTGAGCACGTAGGTGACACAGCAGAACCCTTCTTGGCCTGTGAACCTTTCTGAGTGGGCGCTGTGATGACTGGTCCACTTTCTGGAGTGGGGGCAAGAAGTACCTCTTTGAGAGCTGTGGGGCTTTTCTTTGCTGGGAGCCCATTAGATGCCTGAGGGGCAACAGCCCCCATTTTACATGGGACTGAAACAGAGGAGGCAGGTGAGTCTTTAGGGAAGCAAGGAGTCACAGGTGGAGAAGTGGGGGCCTTTTTAGGGGCTGGAGTTGCTGAAGCCTTTTTGGGGGAGGGAGGAACAACTGCTGGGAGAGTGGGAGTCTCATTCAGGGCTGGAGTTGCTGAGGTCTTTTGGGGTGAGGAAGGAGTCACTGTTGAGGGAGTGGAGGCCCCTTTTGGGGCTGAAGTTGCTGGGGTCCCCTTCAGGGCTGGAGTTGCTGTGGTCTTTTTGGATGAGGGGGGAGCAACTGCTGCAGTTACTGGGCCTTCTTTGGGGGAGGGAGGAGTCACTGCTGGTGGAGTGGGGGTGCCTTTTGAGGCTGGGCCTCCTTTGGGAGCTGGAGTTGCTGGGGTCTTTTTGGGTGAAGGAGGAGTCACTGTTGAGGGAGTGGAGGCCCCTTTTGGGGCTGGGGTAGCTGAGCTTCCTTTGGGGACAGAAGTTGCTGGGACATCTTTGGGGGAGGGAGGAGTCACTGCTGGGGCAGTGGGGACCCCTTTGGGGACTGAAGTTGCTGAGGTCCCTTTTGAGGCTGGGGTAGCTTTGCCTCCTTTGGGAGCTGGAGTTGCTGGGGTCTTTTTCGGTGAGGGGGGAGTCACTGATGAGGGAGGAGAGGTCCTTTTTGCTGCTGGGGCCTCTTTGTGGGAGGAAGGAGTCATTGCTGGTGGAATGGGGGTCCCTTTTGAGGCTGGGGTCTTTTTGGGTGAGGGGGGAGCCACTGCCAAGGGAGTAGAGGTCCCTTTTGCTGCTGGGGCCTCTTTGGGGGAGAGAGGAGTCACTGCTGGGGCAGTGGGGGCCCCTTTGGGGGCTGGAGTTGCTGGGGTCTTTCTGGGTGAGGGCGAAGTCACTGCCAAAGGAGTGGAGGCCCCTTTTGGGGCTGGGCCTCCTTTGGGGGCAGAAGTTGCTGGGGCCTCTTTGGGGGAGGGAGGAGTCACAGCTGGAGGAATAGGGGCTTCTTTGGATAGGGTGGCTGGGGTCTCTTTGGGGGAGGGAGGAGTGGCTGCTGGAGCAGTGGAGGACCCTTTGGAGGCTGAAGTCATTGGGGCTTCTTTGGGGGAGGGAAGAGTCACTGCTGGTGGAGTGCAGGTTCCTTTTGAGGCTGGGGTAGCTTGGCCTCCTTTGGGGGCTGGAGTTGCTGGGGTCTTTTTGGGCGAAGGAGAAGTCACTGCCAAAGGAGTGGAGGCCCCTTTTGGGGCTGGGATAGCTGGGGCCTCTTTGGGGGAGGGAGGAGTCACAGCTGGAGAAATAGGGGCCTCTTTGGGGGAAGGAGGAGTCGCTGCTGGAGTGCAGGTTCCTTTTGAGGCTGGGGCAGCTTGGCCTCTTTTGGGGGCTGGAGTTGCTGGGGTCTTTCTGGGTGAGGGGGAAGTCACTGACAAAGGAGTGGAGGCCCCTTTTGGGGCTGGGGCGGCTGGGCCTCCTTTGGGTGAGGGAGGAGTCACAGCTGGAGGAATAGGGGCTTCTTTGGAGGATGGGGCAGCTGGGGCCTCTCTGAGG